GTAACTAATTCTGACCAGATTAGAGGTACACTTTCAGGACAGAGATAAGAATTTTTTTCTGAGGACTGAGGGCCTTTGGAACTCAAAGCGGCTGAGGCAGGGTTGCTGAATATTTTTAAGGTGAGGTAGATTATTGTTAGACAGGAAAATCAAAAGTTAATCAGACAGTGGGTATTAATGGGGACAATGAATCTATGAATGAGTCTCTAAGCAAGATCCCAGACACAAAAGTGAGAAATAACCAATTAAGCTTTTATTCTGTATTGCTATTTGAAACACCAAGAAACAAAACATGATCAGCACTGAAAGAACTGTGCACAGGTTTTTGGACTGACAGTAACAACCTGCATTGTTATTCACTAGTAAAATATTACAATACACCTAGGAGGCTGTGCCGTAATGGTATCGTCACTGGACTAGTAAATGTGAGATCCAGGCAATGCTCAAGTAACCTAGAATCCCACCATGGCAAATGGTAGACTTTGAATTCAATAAATATCCAAAGAGTCTAACAATGACCATGAAACTGTTGTTGATTGTCATTTAAAAAGTCTGGCGCACGCTAATGGTGGAGTCAGAACTCTCTGCCTGAAAGCATGGTGAGAAACTAATGTCCTTTAGGGAAGGAAAGCTGCTGTCCTTACTAGGCCTACACAGGACTCCAGAACAGACCCTATAATTCTCAATCCACTCTCCTGCCTTTTCCCTATAACCTTTGATATACTGATTGAAAATATACCTTTGCTTTGAATATAATGAACAGGGTCAGCCTCTGCAGCATGCTGCCATGAAGAATTCCATAGATTGACTACCTTTGAGAGAAGAAACTCCGCATATCTGTTCTAACTGGCTGATCCCTTACTCAGATTTTGGTCCCAGATTCTCCCATGGGGGAAATTAACCTTTCTGCAACTACCCTGCTGGTTGGAGGCATACCTATCACAAAGGAGGGTGGTCATGGTTGCTGGAACTCAATCATCTCAGCTCCAGGACATCTCTGCAGGGGCTCCCGAGGGTAGTATCTTAGGCACTCTTCAGCTTCTTCATCAATGACCTTCCCCCCAACATGAAGTCATAATTGAGGATGTTCACCAATGATTGCACATTGTTCAGCCAAGTTTGCAATGCCTCAGATACCGAAAAACTCAGGTCCAAATGTAGCGAGATTTGGACAATATCCAGGTAACATTTAATTTAGCATCTCTTACAGTGACCAAATATCTGTATTGCTTTCCAGATAACAGTGTAGTTTTTAAGTTACATGGTCTTTAGAGGTCAGGGAATGGCCCAAGAGAAAACAGTAATTCAAGAGAATAATTCAAATTAATTAATTAAGATTAAATGTAGAAACATTACATACCTTTATTTTATGCGGTTCCACAAACTCTGCATAGCTGTTATTGTAAGTTACTTTCTTGTCTCGTAATGCCACCCTGTAGCCCCAGTTGAGAGAGCCAATGTAGTTCTGAATGGCTTCTTTCATCTTACCCCAGTTGTGATGAACTGCAAGTCATTTAAATAAAACCCAAGAATCCCTGTGTTAGTGTTGATAATGTATAGTTAACAACCTGTTGAATACAGAATCTTCAGCATTACTGTCACCATGACAAAGGTCTCCATTATTGGAGGGACTACAGTTTTCAAACCCTTCCAAATAAACAGGCAAAACATTTTAAAGACAACAATTCTATCCTGCATTTGCTTACAAGTACTGCAACTCCTAAAACTAAAATACAGCAAACTTCTTTTTTTTTTTTAAAAACTGGAACCTTATGAACCGGCACTCTGGGTAAACTGGAAAAAGTTATATAGCTGAAATACTGGAAGTTTACTGTATTAACGCAATCTCCGCAATGTTCGAGTAGTCAGCTGAGGGTGTGAGTGAGAAGACTCTCCATTAAGTTTTATTTAAGGCAAAGTTGCATAATTATTTAAGTGATCTATGCTGTAAATAAAGCATAACAGTGACGTGCATATCCCCTGTTACATTTCTATTACTTAGTGTGTTTTTACATTGATTACGCAGGCCTCTTGATCAACCAGAATATCTGATCAATCACTTTCCCTGGTCTCATGGGTGCCATTTAATTAAAAAAAAACAAAACACTTTGCTGCATCAAAACTCTTATTTTTTATTGCCTCGTCAATGAAGGCAAAAACAGTTTCCAATATCTTGACATTCGAGGTTAGTATGCGTAGCTGAAGACGAAAGTGTAATAAGCGAACAGGAACAAGTATAGGAGGAGTAAAGACAATTTGGGCCATTTACTGGAGTGCTGGGTAAATCTCGACGGGTTGGACTAAATGGCAGATTTTCACATAGCTGTAACACAAATTCTCTTTAGAGAAGTCCAGTTTAAGACAGCAATGGCCAAGTAGAGGAATGTGAAAGGAAAGCAAGAATTATTTTTTTTACATTGTTCTTGGATGTTGGTATTGCTGGCAGTCACATTCATTACAGATCTCCAAGGGGGCTTTTACATTCAAGTTGCTTATTCAGAGGCTATCCACAGCCAACAAACAACTTTGACATTGGAACAAAGTACAGTGGAACAGGTAGAAGTGAAGATGTTCCCTTATGCGAAAGTAATTGATGAATCAGTTGGATTTTTACATTCAGCAGGCTTTTGGCAATTTTTGTTTGCCATCCCATTACAATTTAACAAATTCAATATTTTCTATATGATATAAATGTCTCAATCAATTTTAGATGCCTTCCAGCTGTGTTGACTAACTACCTTTGTCTTTTATGGGAGAAACCAGGCTGTAAAACCCAAAATATTAAAAATAGCTGAGTTACCTCAAGACTTACCTTTCTCATCAAATTCCCAGCCAAATTTACGGGAATCCATGAGGCCTTGGCCGAGGAGAGCAGCCTGATGCATCAGCTTCTTTGGAATGCAACCTACATTTACACAGGTACCTCCAAGACCTGCAAACAAGAAAAGGCAAAAGGAGAAATTGGTTCAAAACTAAATCAGCAAAAACAATGTCCTCCTAAAATCCATAGCATTGATCTTTTGGACACAAGGTGCTCTGGATTGCACACTTCAATATCTATCACCAAGAACAGCTCAGCAGCATTACTAGTGACCAAACTCCAAAGCACATTTCTGACAGACTGGGCTTTTTTTCCCTCTATTCATTTGTGGGAGGTGGGCGTTGCTGGCTGGCCAGCATTTCTTGCCCATTCCTAGTTGCCCTCGACAAGGTGGTGGTGAGCTGCTTTCTTGATTCGCTGCAGTTCTCTTGATGTGGATTGACCCACAATGCTATTAGGGAGGGAATTCCAGGATTTTGACCCAGCAACAGTGAAGGAACGGCGAAATATTTCCAAGTCAGGATGGTGAGTGGCTTGGAGCTGGTGGTGTTCCCATATGTCTGATGCCCTTGTCCTTCTAGATGGAAGTGGTCATGGGTTTGGAAGGTGCTGTCTGAGGATCTGCAATGAATTTCTGCAGCAGCATATTCAACCATACTCTAATTTTTTGATCTAACACAAGGCAAAACCTCTTTTCATTGCAGCCTTCTTCTATCCAGCTTTCAGAACCTTTTCCACACCCCTCTTATATCCATTTTATCCTCTCCCTCAACACCCATCCAGAATCTGTAGAAAAAAACTGCCAGCTTCAAATAAAAACAGCCTTAATTCCAGCCTCAACTAAAGCTGGCCTCCCAGAAACTCCCTTACTGCTGCCACTCCTGTCCATTGCACCTCCGCAGTTTGCTTCTCTGTCACATTAGTTAGGCTGCCTATCACTATCAGCTGCAAGCACAGAAGTGGCCTGTGACTGGCTCAGCTTCTCCTTACCATTTACTTCCATTCTATTTACGTTTTCTTGATTGGTCAAGACTGCAAGCAAGTTGTCCTGATCGATGTGGGGGCTTTCAGTAATAATTCACCTGTCTGTCGCTTCCATGTTATTTTGAGCACTGGTCTAAACACGTACTTTATTCTGCCATTAACATCAAGTCAAGGGATTAACACTGGCTTAGTGTGGAGGTCAGCCAGCAGCAGAACCAGGTACTCCTAAAAATAACATCAATATGGTATAAAAGCCAATTTTTTTTTATAAGCAAGGGAATCAAGTGTTGAGAGGGCAGACAAGACAGTGGAGCTGAGACCACAACCAGATCAGCCATCATCCTACTTATTGGAGTAGGTTCAAATGGATAAATGTTCAACTCCTTCTGCTTTTCCCTATACATCTATGAATCTTTAACACAGGACAACAGACATTCTAAGCAGCAGAAGCAGGTGACAGTCAGAACAATGTGATTATACAACCAATGAATCATGTCAAAGTCCTGCAGCTTTTGCACATCCAATCATGAGGACAATTAAACAACCACCCAGAATGGAATGTTCCAGAAACACACACAGCCTTAACGATGGCAGAGTCCAGCACATCAATGTCACAGACAAGGTTGAAGCACTTCTGCTAGAGTGTTGAGCGGATAATTTATTACTATCTACCCTCGCCCGAAAACTCTTAGCAACTCAACCTCTAGAGCTTGCTGGAGTAAATAATTTCACATATTCACTGTGATCAGAGAGAAGAAATTACTTGTGTTAAAGAGGGGAACCCTTACTCTGAAGTCATGCTCTTTGGTCAGAGGCTCGCCCATAAAAGGAGACAACTTCTCCACACCTATCCCATCAAACCCCTTAAGAATCTTGTTTGTTTCAATGTCACCTCTCATTATTCTAAACTCCGTGTACAGGCCCAAACTACTCAACTTCTCTTAAAATCCCTTCATAGCCAGGATCAACCTGACGATGCCAGTATACACTTCCTTAGATAAGGAGACAAAAACTATTCGTAGTATTCCAGCTGTGGAGTGACTAGAGTCTTTTGTTTTAGCAAGACTTCCCTTTTTTCACTCCATTCCCTTTGAAAGAAAAAAAAATTAACATTCAATTTACATAAGAACATAATAACTAGGAGCAGGAGTAGGCCATCTGGCTTCTCGAGCCTGCCCCACAATTTAATAAGATCATGGCTGATCTTTTTGAGACTCAGCTCCACTTACCCGCCCACTCACCATAACCCTTAATTCTTTTACTGTTCAAAAATTTACCTAGCCTTGCCTTAAACACATTCAGCGAGGTAGCTTCAACCGCTTCACTGGGCAGGGAATTCCACAGATTCACAACCCTTTGGATGAAGAGGTTCCTCCTGACCTCAGTCCTACATCTGCTTCCCTTTATCTTGTGGCGATGCCCACTCTTCCTAGTTCCACCTGCTAGCAGAAACAACCTCCCTGCCTCCACCTTATCTATTCCCTTCATAATCTTATGTTTCTGTAAGATCTCCCCTCATTCTTCTGAATTCCAATGAGTATAATCCCAGTCTACTCAGTCTCTCCTCATAATCCAACCCGCTCAACTCTGGAATCAACCGAGTGAATCTCCTCTGCATCCCCTCCGGTGCTAGTATATCTCTCAAGTAAGGAGACCAAAACTGCACACAGTACTCCAGGTGTGGCCTCACCAGGAACCTATACAGCTGCAGCATAGCCTCCCGGTTTTTAAACTCCATCCCTCTAGCAATGGCAGACAAAATTCCATTTGCCTTTTTAAATTGCCTGCTGCACCTGCAATCCTACTTTTAGCGATTCATGCACAAGGACACCCAAGTCCCTCTGCACAGCAGCATGCTACAATTTTTTACCATTTAAAACACAGACCATTTTCCGGTTATTCCTACCAAAATGGATGACCTCACACTTGTCAACATTGTACTCCATCTACCAGACCTTTGCCCACTCACTTAGACTATCTATATCCCTTTGCAAACTTTCAGTGTCTTCTGCACACTTTGCTCTACCACTCACCTTAGTGTCAGCTGCAAATTTTGACACACCACAACTCCAAATCATCAATGTAAATTGTAAACAATTGCGGTCCCAACACTGATCCCTGAGGCACACCATTAGCCACTGACCGCCAACCAGAAAAACACCCATTTATCACGACTCTTTGCCTTCTACTGATCAACCAATCCTCTATCCATGCCAATACATTACCTGTAATACCATGCAACTTTATCTTATGTAGCAGCCTTTGGTATGGCACCTTGTCAAATGCCTTCTGGAAATCCAGATACACCACATCCACAGGTTCCCCATTGTCCACCATGCAAGTAATGTCCTCAAAAAATTCCACCAAATTAGTTAAACATGACCTACCCTTCATGAACCCATGCTGGGTGTTCCCAATGGGACAATTTATGTCCAGATATCTTGCTATTTCTTCCTTAATGACAGATTCAAGTATTTTCCCCACTACCGAAGTTAAGCTAACTGGCCTATAGTTACTTGCTTTTTGTCTACTTCCTTTTTTAAACAGTGGCGTCACATTGGTTGTTTTCCAATCTGCGGGAACTACCCCAGACTCCAGTGAATTTTGGTAAATAATTAATAGTGCATTTGCTATTTCCCCCATCACCTCTTAGTACCCTGGGATGCATTTCATCAGGGCCAGGAGACTTGTCTACCTTTAGCCCCATTAGCTTGCCCAGCACTGCCACCTCAGTGATAATGATAGTTTCTAGGCCCTCACCTGCTATAACCTTCTTGCCATTAGTTTTCGGCATGTTATTTGTGTCTTCCACTGTGAAGACCGACACAAAATAACTGTTTAATGTCTCGGCTAGTTCCTCATTCCCAATTATTAAATTGGCCTTCTCATCCTCTGAAGGACCAATGTTTACCTTCGCCACTCTTGATTTACATATTTATAGAAACTTTTGCTGCCTGTTTTTATATTCTGAGCTAGTTTACTCGCATAAATCTATCTTACTTTTCTTTATAACTTTTTTTGTGGCTTTCTGTTGGGCCTTTAAAGATTTCCCAGTCTACTAGTTTCCCACTACTCTTTGCTTTTTTGTATGTGTGTTTTTTCAATCTGATACTTTCCTTTATTTCCTTAGACATCCATGGCTGGCTCTCTCTTTTCCTACAGTTCTTCCTTATCACTGGAATATACTTCTGCTGAGCACTGTGAAAAATTGTTTTGAAAGTCCTCCACTGTTCCTCAATTGACCCACCATAAAGTTTTTGCTCCCATTCTACCTTAGCTAACTCCTCCCTCATTCCTTCATAGTCTCCTTTGTTTAAGCACAGGACATAGGTACTGGATTTAACCTTCTCATGCTCCATCTGTATTTTAAATTCGACCATACTGTGATCGCTCCTTCCGAGAGGATCCCTAACTGCGAGATCATTAATTATTCCTGTCTCATTACACAGGACTACATCTAGGATAGCTTGCTCCCTCATAGGTTCCATTACATATTGTTCAAAGAAATTATCGTGGATGCATTCTATGAACCCCTCCTCAAGGCTGCCATGACTGACCTGGTTTGACCAATCAATATGTAGATTAAAATCCCCCATGATAATTGCTGTACCAATTTGACATCCCTAGAATCACAGAATCATGCAGTAGAGGCCCATCAGTCCATCAAGCCTGTAGCATCAAAACTACACTAGTCCAACATTCCAGCACTCGGCCCATAACCTTAAAATGTTAAGGGTTCATCTGAGTAGCTTTAAAAACTGAGATTACATGCCTGAACTACATTCCCAGTTAGTGCATTCTTTGTTTGTTACATTGTCACCCTCTCTTCCTTCCCCCCACCCCAGTGGGACTGCTTCTCCTTTCCAACTGGCAGTTCGACATACTATTGTTCTGCCATTCACACATTCCAATCACTTCTCCCCCAACATTCCAATCCTCGACTCCGTCCCCCACTATTGCATAAATGCTGCCCTCTCCACACTTCACTTCAGCTCTGAAGAAGAGTCATCTAGACTTGAAACATTAGCTTGCTTTCTCTCCGTGGATGCTGCCTGACCTGTCTCTAGTACTTTTTGTTTCCAGTTCAGATTCCACCATCTTCAGTAATTTGCTCCTCCACCATCCTCTGGGTGAAAATTCTTTTTCTAAAATCCTTTTAAACTTCCTGCATTTTAGGTTGTAGACATGCTCGCCGAGCTGGTGGGTTTGGTCGCAAATGTTTCATCACCCAGTGCGCCTCTAGTGAAGCAGAAGTGTTCTGTCCCCTTGTTATTTATATGCCTTGGTTTGCTGGGGTGATTGGTATTAGTTCCGGTTTTGTTTGTCAGTGGTTTGTACACAGGGTTGAATTCAACGTGTTTGTTGACAGAGTTCTGGTAGGAATACCGGGCCTCCAGGAATTCCCTGGCATGTCTGTTTGGCTTGAGATTATTGATGTGTTGTCCCAGTTGAATTTGTGTCCCTCATTATCCAGGTGTAGTGAGACAAGTGAGAATTGGTCGCGTCTCTTGGTGTCTCTGGAAACGCACTGACATTCTGGTAAATCTCCTGTACGCCCTCTTATTGCAGTCATATCCTTCTTATAGTGCAGAAACCAGCGCACAGTACTCCAGCTGTGGCCAAAGTCCTATACAGCTCTAACATATCCTCCCTGCTCACATAGTATAGTGCCTCAACCAAAAAATGCATGTCCCTTAACTATAGCGTATCCCCAATTTACGATAGTCTGACAACACACGTACCTATAAACATGATCCCATACATGGGTGTAATTTGAATTATCTGACAAAAGAACATTTCTTGCAGTTACGAATGGCTGTTTTATGTTGTCCTGCATTCTGTTCCAATTTGCGTACAAATCTAATTGTGAACAGACTCACGTATGGAACCCCTTCGCAACCCGGGGACTACCTGTACCCTGTCATTCCTTGAGTATTCCATGTCTTGTTAGTTACTTCTTTCAAAGTGCATCACCTCACAATTATCAGGGTTAAATTCCATATGCCACTAAAACGCCCATCTGACCAATCCGCTTATATCCTCATCTATATAAATTTATATGTATCACAACAATGAAGGGGTTGATCACCAACCTCCGTGGCACCCCACTAGACACTAACCTCCTGTGTACACAGTCTATTATGTGCTGAACTAGTGTACACGTTTTTTGATTCATGCACAAGGACACCCAATACCTCAGTATTTCTCCATTTAAATAATTTTCAGCTCTTCTGTTCTTCCCACCAAAATGCATAACCCCATATTTTCCCAAGTTATATTCCATCTGCACATTTCCCTTCAAGCCACACACCATACTGGATTGGGGCGATATCACCATTCTTTCACCATTGCTGCCTCAAAATGCTCAACCTGTCCCTAACAGCACAATAGCGCACCCACAGCACATGGACTGCAGCAGTTCAAGGTAACTGCACATCACTACCTTCAAAAGCAATGCGAGATGGGCAATAAATGCTAGTCTTGTCAGTGACTCCTACATCCCAAAAACAAAATCAAAAAGGATGCTTTGAATATAAAACGGATATACCTACTGTGAATCAAAACCGAATATCGAGCTTTGTGCAGTTTTAAAATTTATGACAAGAACGCCTCATCTTTCATTCTCAGAACCAAATAATCAACTCGCACGTACGATTCTATGGGGGCCATTTGAATTCCATTGCTTCGATCAGGGGTAACTCCTAATATGAAATGTGGAAGTATTTTTGTTGTTTATTGTAAGCGTCACTGGCTAGGCCACAAATTAGTCATATAGCACAGAAGCAGACCCTCTGGTCCAACTAGTCTATGCCGAACATAATCCTAAACTAAACTGGTCCCACCTGCCTGCTCCTGGCCCATATCCCACCAAACTTTTCCTATTCATATACTTATCCAAATGTCTTTGAAATTGTGCCCACATCCACAGGAGGTTCATTCCACACACAATCCACCCTGTGTAGAATAATTACCCCTTATGTCTTTTTTAAAATCTCTCTCTTCTCACCTTAAAAATGTGCCCCCTAGTCTTGAAGTCCCCAACCATTAACCCGATCTATATCTGTCGTGATTTTACAGCCCATCCCTAATTACCCAAAGGACAGTTTAGATTCAAGCACATTGCTGGAGTCACATGCAAGTCAGACCATCCCTAAAAGGACATTCCTTCCATAAAGAACATTAGTGAACCAAACGGAACTTTCTGACAATTGCCAATGGTTTCGACGATCATCATTAGAGCATTAATGCCAGATTTATTGTTATGAATTCAAATTTCACCATTTGCCATGGCAGGATTTGAACACAGGTGCCCTGAACATTACCTGGGTCTCTAGATTAAAAATCTAGAGATAATACCACTAGGCCATTGCCTCCCCATACAGCATACTAAGAGCCTCAATGCTAATCTACAGCCTGGTAGGTTGCAAAAAGATAGCTTCGTGTAGTGATAAAACTTAAATGTCTATTGAAATTCATGAAAAACAGCTAAACAAGGAGAGGCAAAAAAACCTACCCCATGAAGTTCCCATAGGTGTCGGCACAACATAGTCAAGCACCAAGACTTTTCTTCCAAAGCTTGCAGCTTCCTATAAACAGTAAAGATACTGTTTATTCATTTTAGTCAAAAAAGTCAAGGTTTATTCCATCAGAATAGGAAATTCAGCCATATCTAATCTATTGAGCTCAACCTCCTTTAAATTTCTAGACTAAATCTCAAAACTCATGCACAGAAAAGGATTTAAAAATGCAGTTAATCTGCAACACATACAAAAAGAGATGCTGAAACTCAGATTAGGCAGTATCTTGTGAGAAAATGTAATTATGTTTCAAGTCAATACCTTTTCACCAGGATAATAGAAGAGTTGGTCAAAGGCTGAGTAAATGGAGGACAGAGGTGTAAAGAGACAGAATCTTTTAGGAAGAGAATTATACATCTCAGGACATAGGTAGCTGAAGGCACGACCACCAACGATGTGAGTGATAAAAAAAATTAAATACACAAAAGATAAGAATGGCAAAAGAAACACTGGAACAATCTGAAACAAGGACAGGGAGTTTTAAAAAAGCAGTATTTCTGTGCAGGTGCCAATACAGATCTGAAAATGTAGGACTTGGTTCAAGTTTTAATATTTGCAGCAGGTTTAGATGAACTAGTGTTTATGAAGGGTGAAAATTCAGAAGTCCACCAGGATCGCATCTGGAGGAGACAAAAGCATTGGTAAGAGATACTGTAAATGAAATGTAGAGGAGGTAAAGTCGAGCAATAATGATGGGAATGGAAGTAAACAGTCTTCATGATGAAAGCCTGGCTTATTGGTTTCTCCAAAAATCAGAATTATAGAATTGAGAAGAGGTTTTGGGAACTAGTACCATCGGCTGCAGCAAATACATATTTCAGTCTGGGGTGCTGACTACTCATGCCTAATTGCCCTCAAGAGTGGCGAGCTGGTATTTGCACACAATGAATCAGCCATTGCTCAGTAGCAGCACTTTTGCTTGACAAGTTCAACTCCATTCGGATTTAAGCACCAACGGAGTGTTGAAATAACTAGAGATGTTAAACTGAGGCTGCCAGTCTTGCAATGAGCAGAAAATATCCTGCAACAAAGGCTAAACACTGCTGTTTCTGCACGTGAAATAAAAAGACAGAAAATGGTGGCATTGAGCATGTTAAACAACATCAGTGAAGAAAAACAATATTTCAGATCAATCTTTTGTCATTACCCACCCTGTGACAGATGGATAGGAAATGGTGCTTGGTTTGCAAGGCACGCTAAGTCCACTTGTGTGTGGTCGGGGACGTTGAACTCAAGACCACATAGCATAAACTGCAAAATTTTTAACTAATCAAAAAAGGGCGATTAGATTGGATCACTGGGTCACAAAACAGTTTTTGCCAAACTTCACAGTTAATGCACACTAATTGTTACAATCAGGTTCTCTTTCCCAGTAACTGATTTCAGCACTTGTATTAACACCTGTATCAATGTAAACTATACCTTTGAAGCCGCAAGTCCTCCAGAGCCACCACCGATAACTATAAGGTCAAAGTCATACATTTCACCTCCTTCCAAAAGTTTCTTCAACAAACCATCTTCATGAGCCTGTGGGAACAAAGAATAGAATTACTGAAGTATTCAGCACATAAACAAAAGGGTATGATTTAGTAGCAATTACTGAGACATGGTTACAAGGAGACCACGTCTGGGAATTGAATATCCAAGGGTACTCGGCATTTCGGAGGGATAGACTGAAAGGAAAAAAAAAAAAAAAAAAAAAAAAAGGGTGGGGTGTAGCTTTGCTGGTGAAGGACAGGATCAGTGCGGTAATATGAAATGAGAAGCGCGGGAGATCAAGAGGTGGCATCAGTCTGCGTAGAAATGAGAAATAGCAAAGGAAAGAAGTACTTGGTAGGAGTAATCGAAAGGTTCCCAAACAGTAGCTCCGCAATGGGGCACAGTATAAACCAGGAAATACTACAGGCTTGCAAGAAAGATACAGCAATAATCATGGGTGATTTTAACCTGCACATAGATTGGAAGAATCAAATTGGCAAGGGTAGCCTGGGGGTAGAATCCATTGAATGTGTTAGACATTGTTTCTTGGAGCAGTATGTTGTGGAACCAACCAGGGAACAGGCTACTCTGGATTTGGTATTGTGTAATGAGGAGAGATTAATTGATAACATCATAGTTATGGATCCTCTAGGGAGAAGTGACCATAGTATGATTGAATTTTGAATTCAGTTTGGGGGTGAGAAAGTGCAGTCTCACAATAGTGTTTTGGAATTAAACATAGGAAATTACATAGGCACGAGGACAGATTTGGCCCGAGTAGATTGGGCAGGAAGGCTAAAAGGTAAGACAGAGATGAGCAGTGGCAGTTGAAGGAGCTACTCAATTCCTCACCACTAAAATATATCCCAGTGAGGAAGATAGATGGTTGGGGAGGGTTTAAAAAAAAAAAAAATCTACGGTTAAACAAGGAGGTTTAAAGTCAAAAACTAAGGCATACCATATTAAAAAGGCCCATGACAGGAAGGAGGATTGGGAAACTTTCAAACATAAACAAAGGAAAACTAAAAAAAAATTAATAAAAAGAGCCAAGGGAAGTTATGATAGAAAACTAGGACAAAACATCAAAAAGAATAGCAAAAGCTTCTGTAGCTATATAAAAGTGAAGAGTGGTTAAGGTGAATGTTGGTCCCTCAGAAATTGAAACCGGACAGTTAATAGTGGGGAACATTGAAATGGCAGAGATGCTAAATCAATACTTTGCCTTTGTCTTCCACTGTAAAAACTATGGTACCAATCTTATTGGCATGGACAAGTCCGAGGCAAGAGGGGGTAGAACGTAGAACAATCAACATCGATAGGGAAAAGGTACTCAGCAAACTATTAAGATTGAAGGCAGACAAGTTCCCCAGATCTGATGGCCCTACATCCTACAGTATTGAAGGAAGTGGCAACAGAGATAGTGGATCCATTAGTTACAATATTCCAAAGTTCCCTGGACACAGGAAAGGTTCCAGTGGATCGGAAAAATGCTAATGTAACGCCCTTATTCAAGAAGGGAAGGAGGCAGTATGTGGGAAATTACAGATCAGTGAGTCTAACACTTAGCCAACAACTGATGTTAAAATTAATTATCAAGGAAGTACTATCAGGACATTTGGAAAGTCAAAGCGCTATCCATCAGAGTCAGCATGGTTTTATGAAAGGCAAATCATGTTTGACCAATTTGTTAAGAGTTTTTCGAAGATGGAACAAGCAAAAGCGGAGAATGGGGATCCTGTAGACGTAATATATCTGGATTTCCAGAAGCATTTGATAAGGTACTGTACAAAAGCTTAATTCACAAGGTTGGATCATATGGGATTAGGGGTAATTTATTATCTTGGATAGGTGACTGGCTAATGGACAGAAGACAAGAGAATCAGGATAAATGGGATTTTTCCTGAATGGCAAGTAGTAGTTAGTGGGGTGCCACGGGGTTTGGTACTTGGACCCCAGCTATTCACAACGTACATTAACGACTTGGATACAGGGATAGAAGGCTCTATAGCCAAATTTGCAGACAACACAAAAATAGGCGGGATGGTAAACTACAATGAGGAAATAAAAACCTTACAAATGGATAGAAATAGGTTAGGAGAGTGGGCCAAAATATAGCAGATAGAGTTTAACATGGATGTGCAAGGTCATGCATTTTGGTCAGAAATATGTGAAGGCGACCTATTATCTAAATGGGGAGAGACTCTGGGGTGCTCCAGTGCACAGGGATCTGGGTGTCATTGTTCATGAGTCACAGAAAACTAGCATACAAGAGCAGCAGATAATAAAGAAAGCAAGTGGAATATTGGCTTTTATAGCTAAAGGAATAGAATATAAAAGGTAAGGAAATACTGTTGCATCTACACAAGGCATCAATGAGACCACACCTGGATTATTGTGAACAGATCTGGTCCCCTTATTTGAGGAAAGATGTAGTGGCATTGGAGGCAGTGCAGAGGGTTCGTTAGATTGATCCCAGAGATGAGGGGTTTGTCGTATGAAGAAAGATTGAATAGTTTAGACTATACCCTCTGGAATTTAGAAGATGAGGGGAGATCAAATTGAGGTGTTCAAGATGTTAAGAGGTATAGATAAAATAGACGTGGAGTGGATACTTTGTCTTGTGGGGCATTCTAGGACAGGGGGTCATAGTCTTAGGATAACGGGTAGCAAATTTAAAACAAAGTTGAGGAGAAACTACTTCTCCTAAAGGGTTATGAATATATGGAATTCGCTACCCCAAAGTGCAGTGGATGCTGGGACAGTGAGTAAATTTAAGGAGGAGTTAGACATTTTTAATTGGTAATGGATTGAAGGGTTATGGGGAGAAGGCAGGAAAAAAATGGAGGTCAGAAGCACATCAGCCATGACTGAATGATTCGAAGGGACAAATGGCCTAAGTCTGCCCCTATACTTTATGAACATAGTTTGGCTTACTTAAAACTATACAATAACATTAAACAGAAGAGTCAAAACTAAGAAAATTTAAGGACTACTACACTTGTGTAGAAGTGTGTGTTGGAGGCCTGCTCACTAGGTTAACTGTTAGAATGAAGGGGTCATTGTTATGAAAAAAAGGTAAAGTAAGCTGGGTTTATACTTATGGAAGTTTAGGAGAACAAGAACTGATCTTACTGAAACATTAAAATACTGAGGGGCTTTACAGTAGTTGCTGAAAGGGGTTTCCCATTTTGAAGGCCTGTGAACATAGGGGTAGTTTTAGAGTAAGCACTCTTTTATTTAAGGTGATATGGTGTTACTTTCTCTCAGATGGTCACACTTCACTGGGGATGCATGATGGAAATCAAGCCCTGTTATTCCTGGAGTCGTCACAAAAGTTAAATATTTTGTTCAAGCATGCAAAGATATTCCAATTTACCTGTCGGAAGAACTATTTATTACAGATAGATTCTTAAAAGCAGGTAAACAACGATGGACTATTGACATGTAACTATTAGTTAAAACTCTAACCACCTTCTAAAATTCCTGACAGACAGACAGACAGACACACACACACACACACACACACACACACACAGGGAAAAAGTGGTGTTGTAGGTGCAGGGGGAACATCTTGGGAAGCAGTTCAATAGCCTTTGTCCATAAAATTCACAGAAATGATCATTCTACTTGCCAGGACTCGCTAGCATTCAATCTCTTCTGATTTTTCTTTTCTCTTCTTCACAGGAGGCAAAGCAATTGCTCACAAATTATAAAGTTTCTCATTTATTGGTTGAAAGCAACAGCTTGCAGCAACTTGTAGGAGCAAATGACTGGCTTGTCAGGATTCAAGTATTTTATACTCCAGAGACAACTGCCTCCCCTTCTGGAGGTCTGAAAGCTTCTGCCAGTGTCAGTTACACTTGCAAGTTCTTCAGCCACCCAAGAACCAAACAAACCTGTTGTTGACAGGTTAATGGCCTTTGGTTTGTTGAGTTGTGACCATTTGTGGATAACAGTCAGCAGATACCTTTTGATGGCCTAATCTCACTTTGCACAAATTTTCAGTTCTAGCCCAACTGGTCCACCCCAATGGTGAAGAAAGCAACAGTATTAAACACCACTTACAGTTTCAGTAGCTTGCTTTTTAACAACTACAGAAATCTCTTTCACAATCCTGGTTTTTCAAAAAATAATTATTTTCCTATTTCAGTCCACAATCAAAAATATAGAGAAATAAAAAGACACAGCCTTTACAGCTGAGTGTCAGTGAATATATCCATGCACGGTAAGACAAATGTTTGCTCAGCAAGGGAGGGGAGGCTTATGGGAGGTTAGCAGTAAAGTGGAGTTAAGGCCAGAAAGTTCAGCTACAACCTTAATAAATGTATTAAGCAGGTTCACAGGGTCAAATTGTCTACTGATCCTAGCTCTTATGTATGCTTCCACAAACACAAGAAGGGTTTTCAACTTAACACATGCTTGTGTCATTGGAGAAATGGACCTATCGTTCCAAATGCAAGCATAATTGCCTGAAGTACCCTATACGTATCTAAACAATCGGTTGTCACAATTTTCATGACAATCTGATAATTCAATGTTTCATTTGAATCCCTGGAGCAAAAAGGGGTCATTTGGTCCACCGAATCTGCACCAATCCTCAGAACAGGATCCCACCCAGACCCACACCTCTATCCTATATGCGTAACCCAGCATTTACCAGCATTAATCCACCAAGCCTGCACATCCTGGACACTATGGGGCAATTTAGCATGGCCAATCCACCTAGCCTGCTCATCTTTGGACTGTGGGAGGAAACTGGAGCACTCAGCGGAAACCCACACCGACACAGGGAGAACATGCAAACTCCAGACAGACAGTCATCCAAGCTTAGAATTGAACCCAGGTCCCTGGCACTGAGAGGCAGCAGTGCTAACCACTGTGCCACCCTAATACCAAGGCTCACACAGACACTATTATTTAGTGGCCAATAAATATCTCCAATATCTGCTGCCCCTTGCTGTTCCCTGGTTCCACCCAAACAGACTTCGCACATGGACACAAAGAACAAAGATCCTTCTCCTAAGAATCCACTGATGCCATCCCTTATTATCAGCGCAACTCCATTTCCTTTGCCTTCTCATCCATCCTTTCTAAACATCAAAAAGCCTTGAATGTTCAGTTCCCAGACCTGGTGACCATGAAGTCATGTTTTGGTAATGGCAATTAGATTATTCCCGTTTAGACCATAAGACCAGGAGCAAAGGTAGGCCATCTGACCTTTGGGCCTGCTACATTTAATGAGCTCATGGCTGATCTAATAATCCTCAAATCCACTTTCCTGCCTTTTCCCCTATTATCCTTGATGCCCTTACTGATTAGAAACATGTATATTTTAGCCTTGAATATAGTTAATGACCCAACCTCAACAGCCCAATGTAGTGAACAATTCCACAGATGCAGTATTTTCAGAGAAGAAATTCCTCTTTGATCAAAACGGGGCAACTCACTCAGATTATCCCCGCTGGTCCAAGACTCTCCCACAAGGGGATGCGACCTCTCCACATCTACCCTGAAAAAACCCCATGTTCCAATAAGTACTTCTCATTCTTAAACTCCAGTGAGTAAAAGTCCAACCTGCTCAAACTCTCATCAGAAAATTCCTCCATAACTTGCATCAATCTAGTGAAACTTTTGTGGGCTGCCTCCAATGCTAACACTTCTTTTCTTAAATAAGGGGAACAAAACTATTAGCAATATTTCAGACATGGTCTGACAGGTGCTTTAGTAAGACTTCCATATTTATACAACTACATTCCATTCTCTTTGCATAATGGACCATTTGCCTTTCCTATTCCCTGAACTTCAATGCTAGTTTTTTTTTTTTTGAGATTCATGCACCAAAAACCCAACCACATTATTATTATAAATAACTCCTCTGCACCCACTGTAAATATTTCAATATCATAGGCTCAACCTCTGTATAATCTTGCTGCTGCTGTGACCTAAACTGAGCATAAAGCAATCAGTCACAAACAAATGGAGAATGTTGGAGAAACTCAGCAGGTGTGGCATCATCTGTGGAGAGCAAGAGTTAATATTAAGCCTGGCATGACTCTTTAGAACTGAAAAGTATTGGAAAATAGATTATTTGTTTATACCTTTGACAGAGGCAGAGGTGAAACAAGAGGATAAATGGTAGAGGCTCAGTGTAAAAGACAAAGGGCTGTTAGTAGTGGAGAGGAAAACTAGACTTCTAAAAAGGGTGCAAATTAAGGTGTTAAAACACATAACAGATGTTACACAATTGCAAAGTTACTTCCTTTGCAAACTTAAGGTTACAATGGGACTTTATAAGTGGTCAGATACATTTTCTCCAAAAACCTCATTTACCTGCACAGTTTTGTCACAGCCACCCACATGAGCCTTGTTGACAAATACACTGGGAACAGTCTTCTGACCAGTCATTTCAAGTAAGACATCCTGCATTCTACTTCCCTCTTCTGTAAAATAAAAGCCACATGGAAAATGTTTGTTGTGATAGCAAGATAATCAAACAAATATTCTGTAATCTTAGGTATAACTAGAGTATGCTTTTGAAGAGAGTGGATGAACTATTAGGTCTAAACTGATTGACATCAAACAAGTTTGCTAGTGTAGACTTATAATCAATGTGACTGGTGGTGTCATCTAAATCCTCAATAGAATGGAGAAACCAGACTGGTGAAATGGACATATATGTAACATATGCAATTTAATGCAGTGTGAAGCAATGCATTTTGAAATAATGATAAAGAAAGCACAGTCTACATTTTTTTTTTCTGATGAAGGGTCTAGGCCCGAAACGTCAGCCTCTCTGCTCCTATGATGCTGCTTGGTCTGCTGCGTTCATCCAGCCCTGCACCTTGTTGTCTCAGTCTACATGGTTCCATTTTGAAGAGGGCACAAGAACACAGGATTGAAGAAGATTCTTAAAAGATGGCAAGGCAAATTGATAAGACAACTGAGAAAGCTTATGCAATACTTGGTTTTGTAAACATGGCTATCAAATATGAAAACAAACCATACTAATATCTTTCACAAATCATTGGCTAGGCCACAGTTAAAGTGCAGTGTATGATTCTGGACAACACTCTTAGGAAAGGTATCAAGTTCTTAAAAGATAAGAGACTCATTAGAAAGGATGAGTGACCTCAGTTATTTAGAAAGATTGGAAAAGTGTAAACTGTTCTTGTCGGAGCCAAGAAAAGGGGATCCAAGAGGTGTTCAAAAAAAATGACAGATTCATTAGAGAAAGACGTGGCAGATCTTCCTTTGACAAAATTATTCAAAAACCAGGGATCATGATTTAAAATAATTTGAGAGAGAAATAGATAGGAAATGTTTCTCATTTCCTCATGCAGAGGGTTACGATTTTAAACACACTATCTAAAGGATAGCGGAAGCAGACTCTCTCCCAACATTCATGAAGAGATATTTAACATTTCCTTAGGAGGAGTAAGTTTCAGGGTCATGAGGGGGAAAATAGTATGAGACGAAAGTAGAGATAACTTTTTTAAACAGCCATCGTAGGCTATGTTTCTAAGAAAGTAAGTTGTGGAGAGGTATGAAGAGTCTCAAGACGAATATAGATGTAAATAGTTGCTTGGTAGTACAGAACTTGAGCATTACCAGAGAACATTTTAATCTTGCATTCATCCGATCTCTCTGCCCATAAATTCTCACTTCTCTCTCACCTGAAGGGGCTATGCTCGGAAAACCTATGATTTCAAATAAACCCATTGGACAATAACCTGGTGTCAAGTGACTTCTGACTTTGTCCACCCCAGTCCAACACCAGCTCCTCCACAACATGCTTCACAACATTGCCACGAGTGTTCAGGGAACAGTTACCTCAAAACTTTCATTTAAATTTTTTAAAAAAGGCAAGTCAACTCTGGTTGGATGTGATATGCTTTGGAGAATTCTCTAATAGATAGTACCCCAAGCTTCGAACCGAAAAGACTCAAAAGCCTGGACAAATCGTTTTTTTGCCTGTAGAAAACCAGGCACTGCACATGAATATGTAGTTTTTACCAAGCACGGGTGAGGCACACCACTAATCTGAATGACATTCTTAAATAGACTGATAGTGTAATTCTTGGCACTGTTAAAATTGTTCAACAAGTATTGCCCAAACAGAGACTCAAACCTAACACTGGGCACGATGTTCTGAGTTTAGTAGGCCCTGACTGGCTGAGTACAGCCAGTCCTCTGGCTGTTCTGATTAGTTGTCGGGACATGCTATTTGATAGAATCCACCTGTCATTGGAATGTATGGTCTACATAGCTGGCATTGCAATTCATATAGCACATTACTTATTTGGCAAACCACATATCTTTTTGTCTTGTTATAGGCATCCTTTCAACGGAAAATACCACTCATCATTGCAAAGTACCAGAACAAAACAGTTGAATTTGCATATTGCTCAAAATTTTGAGACACCTTATCCTTCCAGGATTGTTTAAAGGTAGACTGGGCACTTTTCAGGACCCAAAGTGGCAGCTTTGGGCGCAAGTATGAGTTTGCATGGTATACAGTAAGTAGTTGATTGAGATCAATGTTAGGTATACCAGGTGGGTGCCATTTAGTTGAAAGTTAGCCTCTCAAAAACATCACCCTTATAAAAGTGAATCTGACTTTTTGCTTAAAAGATTTGTCTAAAAGTCCAACTTTTACACAGGTACACAAATTATTTAAAAACATTTGATTTGGTGTACAAAGTACCAACTCCAATCATTTGTGCCAGCCTCTCCTGCTCTCCAAAGATGTCACAGTCACTGACAGTTCAGTTTGCCTAGAATCCTCAATAGCAGAATTTGCGTGTTTTAAATTAGTAAGGGCTGAAAAAATAGATTACTTAAGTGAGGATTTTTTTTTTTTTTTAAAAAACTAAGTTCAGCAAGTTAGTGCATTTCACATCACAACATTAACATTGAATATCCATCCAAAAGCCTCACAAACAGAATTGAACTGGTACTTGAAACAAAATACTGTGTAGGATAAATGGTGAAAAAAATTCAGGGGAATTAATGGGCCAAATTGTCTCTTTCTGCTATTAATCATTTTCTGACAAAGGTTACATCAGTAATGTTACTTTAGATTTACACTTGGCAACAATCAATTTAATTCTGAAGAACGGCCACTGGACCTAAAACAGTAACTCTGCTTTGTCAGACCTGCTGAGTTTTTCTTTCTAGCAATTTCTGTTTTAGTCACAAATTTAATTCAATCTTCCAGACTGAAAAGTACTTATTGTCTCTACTAAAGGGAAAAAAAAAGGTAAGCATGCATAATTCAGCTTAAAACGGTTTCTGGTTCTGATCACTGTTGAGTCTCCTCCCAAAAAAGCAAACATCTCTCGTGGTTGGATCATTCTGATGAAGAAGCACACAGAAGCTTTACCATTCTCTTGAACTGTAACATCACACTCTCTCCCGCCCATCCCAACCCCAATTAATTAGCATTTTATTAAGAAAATGCAAGAATAAAGGAAGGCATAAATATGTTACTACAGTTTAATTCTACAACGTACTGCAGTTATGAGCTGTCTGATAAATAAACAAGCATAGACTGGAATTTGAATACTTTTCCCTTACTCTGCATGACTTTGCATTTTTTGAAAGTTTCTACTGAAGGTCAAGTGTACACTGATAACAAGTGAAGGCATGTTAAGCATTAACTATCTTGGAATCAGACAGGTTAACAAACTGCTATTGACAAAACAGAAAAACTTAAATAATGGTACCTAGTAAATCAAGTTCCACAACATGAACATCAACATCCAGGGATCTGAACAGTTCTTTAACCTGTATAAAACAAAATACAAGACAAAGACATTATAATAAGAAACCAGTCCGAACAAAACTAAAGACTTCCATATTTATTTGTTTGGAGTACTACTAAGAAAACAATGGGCTTATACATTACACACATTATCCTATCCACTTGGAGCATGATTCACAGAGACTGCTTCAAAACCACTCCCATGAAAGGACTCTGTGCAAATACAGAAGATTATACAATTTATTTAACCACAGAGAGCATTATAACCAGTTGATCCTGCCAACACCAACATTTTATAGGAGTAACAGTTATCAGGAGAAAATCAATGAACATTTGAATCAGGAGTGACCGTCTGGACCCCTCTCGTCTCCTCCACCATCCAATACAATCATGGCTGATCTGATTGTGGCCTCGCTCCACATTCTTGCTGGCCCCTAAGAATCCTTGATCCACTTTTAGACAAAAATCTCCCCTTCAATAGCTTAAAAGCATTCAAAGACATTAGCTCCACTGCAATCTAAGGAATAAAGCCCAAAGGACCCACAATTCAATAGCAACTATTTCTCATCTCTGGTTTCAATGAGAAATCTTTCATTTTCAAACTATGCCCGCCAGTTCTAGTGTCTCCCACAAGGAGAGAGATCCCCAAGCAATTTTTCCTCTCCAGCCCAAAGACAAGAGGCCAGCACTAGTGAATAAATTTCTGCCTTAACAAGAACAGTAACCACAGATCCTAAAGAGACCTTCTGTCAAGAGTCATGGATTCTATCAGCTATTTTTAGAATCTCAGGAGTAAGGCATTTGCTTGTCCCCTACATAGATAAAATCACTGGTAAGCAGATTAGCTTCATTAATGATTTAGATTTTGGAATGTAGGGGGCAATTCCAAAGTTTACAGACAATACAGACAAAACGTGAAAGCTTTGTGGACTGTGAGGACAGCGTGGAATTGAAAATGACAGACAAGTTGAATAAATGGGCAGATAAAATTCAGCGCAAAGAAAGTGCAAGGTGATACATTTTGGTAGTAAGAACTTGGTGAAACAGTATCAAAGAAAGGATACTACTATAAAGGGTGCACATAAGTCATTAAAGGAGACAGGAGAGGTGTAGACAGCGATCCTATGATTTGTTAATAGTGACACAGATTACAAGAACACGGAAATTGTGTTGTGAACTATAAGACACTAGTTAGACATCAGCTGGAGTATTGTGCACCACACTTTAAGAAGGATGCAAATACAGTGATTTGATTGGATTTGATTTATTGTCGCATGTACCCAAGTACAGAGAAAAGCTGTTTACAAGCAGTACAGGCAGATCACAGTGGCAAGGATATACAGATCATAGGGTGGAAAAAGACTGAGAGGCATACCAGTTACGTCGCACAGGGCGCGCTCTAGGCAAGATCAAGATTAGCAAGATCAGCATTATTTGAAGTTAGAGAGGTCCATTCAGTCTAATAACAGCCAGGAAGAGGCTGTTCCTGAAGCTGCTGGTGCACATGTTCAAGCTTCTGTATTTTTTTCCTGACGAAGAAGTTGTAGAAGAACATTACCAGCGTGCAAAGGGTCTTTGATGTTGGCAGCCTTTCTGCGGCAATGAACCGTGTAAATTGAGTCCATGGATGGCTGTTTGGCTTCTGTGATGGTCAGGGCTGTGCACACAACCTTCTGTAGTTTCTTACAGTCCTGGGCAGAGCAGTGGCCATACCAGGTCATTATACACCCAGACAGCATGCTTTCAGTGGTGCAGAGAGTCAGAGTAATACAGCATAGAAACAGGCCCCTTAGCCCAAACTGGTCCACGCTGCCCATGGCACCCACTCAGTTAATTTCTGTTGCCCATATCCCTTTAAACCCTTCCCATCCGGGTACCTATCCAAATGTTTTTTGAATGTTGCTATTGTACCTGCCTCAACGACTTTCTCTGGCAGCCCATTCCATATATGCACCACTCTCTGTGTGAAGAAGCTGCCCCTCAGGTCCTGCTTAAATCTTTCCCCTCTCACGTTAAACCTATGCCCTCTAGTTTTCAATTCCCCATCCCTGGGAAAAAGATTGTATACATTTGTCCTATCTATGTCCCTCATGATTTTGTACACCTCAGTAAGGTCACCCCTCATTCTCCTACATTCCAAGGAATAAAGTCGTAACCTGGCCAACTTCTCCTTGTAACTCAGGCCAACTAGTCTTGTCAATATCCTCGTAAATCTTCTTTGTAAACATTCTAGTTTAACTATGTCTTTCGTATAACAGGGTGACCAAAACTGTGCACAATATTCCAAATGCGGCCTCACCAATGACTTATACGACTGTAACATAATGTCCCAACTCCTATACTCAATGCCTCGACTGATTAAGGCCAGCATGCTAAATGCCTTCTTCACCACCCCGTCTACCTGTGATGCTGCTTTCAACAAACTATGTACTTGTACTCTTAGGTCCCTCTGTTCCACAAACATTACCGTTTACTGTATAAGTCTTATCTTGGTTTGACATTCCAAAGTGTAACACCTCACACTTATCTGTATTGAACTGCACTTGCCAATCCTCAGCCCACTTCACCATTTGATCAAGATCCCTCTGTAATTTTTGTTAACCTTCCTCACTATCAACGATACCTCCAAATTTTGTATCAGCCACAAACTTACTAATCATGCCTTGTACATTCACATATGTAAATAGCAAATAATAAAAGTCCCAGCATCAACCCCCATGGCACACCACTAGTCATAGGCCTCCAGTTCAAGAAACAACCTTCAACCATCACCCTTTGCTTCCCACCATCAAGCCAATTTTGAATCCAATTAGCTAGCTCTCCCTAGATCCCATGCGACCTGACGACACGACTAGCTTGCCGTGTGGGACCTTGCCAAAGGACTTACTATCAAAGATATCTGTAAAAGTTGGTGAGGGTCCTTATGGACACGTCAAATTTCCTGAGCTGCCTGACAAAGAGGCGGCACTGTTGTGCCTTCTTGACCGTTGCATCAACATGGGAAGTCCAGGACAGGTTGTCAATTATCGTCACTCCTAGGAACTTGACACTCTCCACCTCAGCTCCGTTGATGTTGATGGGGGTGCGTTCTCCTCCTTTTTGTCTGAAGGCAATAATCAGTTCTTTAGTTTTTGCCGACATTGAGAGAGGTTTTTCTCATGGCGCCATGTCACCAAACTCTCTAAATCCTTTCTGTATTCTGACTGTGGAACGCAGAAGAGGTTAATGACAGTGGTCCCAGGGATCAAAAAATTAAGTTAAACAGGTCGATTGGAGAAGTTTGAACTGTCTTACTTGGAGAAGAGAAAGTTAAGAGAAGATCGAGAGGGACACAGATTTAAAGTGAAAAAATAAATGCAATGAAAGAAAAAGATTTTTACACACCAAATGGTTTAAGTCTGGAATGCATTAGATGAAATGTGGCAGAGGTAGCTTCAATCAAGGCATTCAAGAGGGCATTAGATGATTATTTAAATGGAAAGAACGTGCAGGGAGAGAGGGAAAGGTCAACAGGACATGATGCTGAGTCCTGATGCTTATTCAGAGATTCAGTGAGACTCCTCTGCACCATAACAATTCAGTGACTCAGCCTTGTAGCTGTTAACTTTAAGCCACAAGAGACGAGAAATGTAATTTCTAACTATTGAATAGGTCAAATACAAATAGAAATTATTTCAAGAAAATCTTACAGTGGTAGTCAACACCGTAAATTCCCTCTTTCTAAACATTGCAAAACATAGCATTGGTAGCAAGATATGCAGTTGTTCAATAAACCTAAGTTTTTTTAAAAAGCAGAGAACTTAAAAAATAGATTTCGAACTATTATTTGACAGATTCCTTGTAAATTTTAATAGATTTCCTTAAACTGCTTGTATTAAATGAAAATAAAAGTGAACCAACAAATAGAAAAAAAGCATATACTCCACAAAATACGACCCTCCTTCAGCACACCCAGCCCAAACAAATCTACTAACCTTTCCAGCCAAGGTTGAGGAGGTGGACAGGAAAGTAACATTGAACTACAATCAGATCAGTCATGACCTAATCAGCAGAGCAAAATTCAGGGGCTAAATGGCCTATCCCTAACTCATATGTACTCCAAGGGCATCTCAAGCCTATGGACTCATGTCAGTTAAGGTCAGCTGGTAGCAGTCTTGCTTCAATAAGGTCAGGTTCAGGTCCCATTCCAGAAATTTGAGCATAAAGATAGGCTGAAACTCCAGTGCAGAAATGAGGGAATGCTGTAATGTTGGAGATGCCACATTACTTATGAGACTTAAATAGGCAACACATTTACCTGCTCAGGTGAATTTGCAGCAAAGGAGATGAATTACTACAGATATTTCAGATACTGTAGTCTGATCTGCTAGTTTGCCAAGGTCATGGTTGATCTAATTTTGCCTCAACTTTACTCTCCTGTCTTATCAAGTAATCTTCACTAAGAAGGATGTCCTGGTCATTCTCACGTTGGTGGTTAGTGGTTTTCAAATCTGCTGGGCACAAACTCAGTGCCATGTTTCTACATGACAATATAGTGACTACATTTCAAACTTCAAAGTCAAACATAGGCAAGGAAATCCCCTGCTGATTATGACCTATGTCACCTCCCCCAAACCTCCAACCTGCTTCCCAAATTTGTCCTGTGGAGACAAAATCCCATCTTCACATTGTGTTGCGCAACACTAGCACCATGTTACATGGGATAGATGTGAACAGAACTCTCATTGCAAAACTGGGCATCCATTAAGAGCTGGTGTATTCAACAATTACCTATAATCTCATGGCCTGGCACATTCCCCACTCTATCATCAAGATGGAAGCTCAATCCTGGTTCAAAGAATAGCACTGGAGAGCAGGCCAGGAGTATCACCAGGCATACCAAAAGACAAGATGTCAACCTAGTGAAGCTACAATGCAGGACTACATGCATGCCAAACCACAAGACATAGACAAAGTTACGCAATCCCATACCCAATGATCAAACCATCATTGGTGGTAGACAGTAAAACTAGGTGGTGGTGGT